CCGGGGGCAGAATGTTGGAGATCAGGCCTGGGAACAGCAGGGCAGCTGTGGCTGCTGTCAGCGTTTGCTCTGGGGGTTTGTCGGGGGAGGTGGGGAAAGTGGAACAAGTGTTACCTGTTTGACGAGGCAGGCGTATTTCACCGTTCAGCCTGGTCCTTCCAGTGGGGCCTCTGGGATCCTCACCTTGGCAGGGGGCCCTGGGCAGTCCTGGCTTGCTCACCTGCTCCTGAGACAGGCCACTTTCCCACTCTCTGCCTCGGTTTCCCTGTCTGCCAAGGGAGGGGCAGCACCCCATGCTCTTGGCCTCAAAGGGTTCTTGGTTGTACCCAACATTATAATGAGCTCAAGTGATACGCAAGCTCTGAAGCTGCTTGGAAAATGGGGAAGTCAAGTTATTAAACATGGGAGGTGTTGGTGCTAATGTTTACTAATACACACCTAACGTGCTGAGACAGTTCAGACAGGAGGGGAGACTGTCGCCCCACAGTGTAAGCACCGGTTTCTGGAATCAGCCAGTCAGAACTCTGAGACTCTTTTGCTGTGTCACCCCAGGCAAGTGACTCAACCTCTCTGGGCCTCCATTTCCTCACACATGAAACCCACGTTTTGGAACAGAAGTTTGCCAAGTCTGATATGCACATCTACTCAATGAGTTTAAGTGGTACCTGGCTAAAGATGGAAATTATTCTCATAGGTATTTCTTTGTACAGCTTATCTCTATTTATGGCAAGCGGTTTGTTTTCGGTTTAGGGTAGGGATAGACAGGCCCTTTTTTATACCAATTTATGCAGGTAAAGATAGATGAGTTGCTGGAAAGAAAAGCATTAAGCAAATAATAATACAGGTGGCCTGAGGATGGGGCAGAAATCAAGATGCCAGTTTGCAAAGTTTCATAGGTCGGCTTACTTAAGAATTCTTGTTTGTCTTGGGATTTTTGCATCCACATAGTTGGCGTGGGGAGGAGATGGGTGGGTTGCTAATTCAAATCTCTGGAGGGCTCCACCATGGCAGTCTGAGTGTCACAAGTCTTCCCTTCTCGGGGGGATGGGAGGGGGCCCACCTCTCTGCTCACCGACGCCAGGGAGACCCCTCAGACCTCCAGCCCTGCACCGACCCCTAGCTTTGACTTGTCTCATTTTAGGATCACGATGACCCAGTGCCCTCCTTCCTGGCCAGGGCACCTCTCTGGGCCTCAGTTTTCTCAGTGAAATGGGGAGAATAACAAACTCTGTCCCATAGCTGTGTGTGAAGATGGAGGGGTTAACAGGGCTCCATCGGGCGCTGATCCTTCACAAACAGCACCCACTCGGAGGGCAGTGGGCCCCAGCGGCGCTGGACACGCGGGGGGCGCTCCTTCCACAGGCCACCCTGCGCCACCCGGCACCAGCTCCCTGCCCACCCCCTGGGAGGGTGGCTTTGCAGGGAAACAGCAGGCAGCCAGCAGGGGCGGACTCTGGTTTCACTTTCTGCTGTGTCATGGAGTGGGGGGTGGCATCGGGGCCCAGCTGGCCAGCTGGGGCGGGCACCGAGAGGCCAGCAGACAGCTGCTGGCCCAGCTGCCAGAGCACAAGCCGCGCCCCCCTGCAGCCTGCCAGGGTGGGGGCTGGGTCCTCGGGTGCCCCTTAAGGGCCTCTCCTCCCGCACGGTGGGGAGAACCCCAGGCGAGAAAAGCCAGGAGCGGGTGAGATCGTTTCTTGAGCTGTGGGATCCCCCAAAAGCAACTTCTCAAGTCACGCAGCCTTGAAGTTCTGAGAAGTGCAGCTGTGGGTTCTGGATCAGGGTGCGCTGGCTGGACACCTGCTCCCTGCCTCCCTTCACTGGGCACATGGTGGGTGAGGGCCTACTGTGTGCTAAGCAGTGTGCCAGGTGCCGGAGGTACAGCAGGGAGCAGGACAGCCCCTGCCCTCATGGGGCTCCCAGTTAAGTCTGGGAGATGGACAAAAGAGCGAGCAAGAAAGAATCCCGCGTTATGGGGGAAATTCCAGCCTGAACGTCTGGTGCTAGCATCTCAGGGCAGGGGCGTGCCTGCGTATGCACGTATGTGTGTCAGCAACGTGTCACCTCCTGGGACACAACGGTAGGTTAAGAATACAGACCCAGGGGCCAGAGGTCCTGTGTTTGAATTTCCACTGACTGGTGCGTGACCTCAGGCAAGTGGTCTCTCCTCTTTGGGCCTCAGTTTCCCCGTTTGTAGGTGCAAGAATGAGAGTATTTACATGGTAGGGCTGCGGCGAGGATGAAATAAACGAGCGTCCGTAGAGAATGGAGGACAGCGCCTGGCATCGACCGTGTGCTGTGTAAGTCTTAGCTGTTCTCTGAGAATAATAAATGCGCGCTCTTGTAAGATGAAATGCGGCCGTCACGGCGGGCTGAGCACAGCGGGAGTGCTGTGGGGTCCATCCCCTCTGCCATGCGCTTGCCATGCTTTCTCAGGAGCCACAACCACCCCTCCGATGCCCTTACCATCTTGTTCAGATGAGGAAACTGAGGCTCAGGCAGATAAAGAGGCCTGTCCCAGGTCCCCAGCTGGAAAGGAGTTGGGCCACCATGCAGGGCCGGCTTTGCAGTGGTGGGCCCTGCACTTGGTTTAATGCTCTGCTGTTGTCTTAAATTCTCAATCATTTTGGAAACAGGAGCCCCGAGTTTTCATTTTGCAAATTATGGAGCCCGTCCTCCCCAGACCGGACTTAGTCCAAAGCCATCACTCTTAACGACTCCCATCCATATGTCATACAGCCGGCTCCAGAATTTTCCAGATCATCGACACAGGGCTTATGGAGGGACTGAAATCCTGGGAAGAATATGAAGCCTTTCTCCTGGGCTCAACTGCCCAAGTGCCTGTTTGTCTGTGGCCCCAGTGGAAGGCAGGCGGGGAGGGCAGGGCTGGGACTCATTCATTGCCATGTCCCCAGGGCCTTGCTTGTATTAGCTGCTCAGTTAATAGTTGTGAAAACAGGTGAACGGGAGGCTGCTGTCTCTCAGAAACAAACCTACGTAAATGACCCCTTCCAGGAGAGCGGGTCGTCAGGGGTGCAGTGTACACTCTGGCCGGCCCAGCAGGCTTCCGGACAACCCCTGAAGGCGTGGAGATGCACGGCTCTCTTCCCCATGCCCCAAACCTGTGTGCCAACACCTTTAACCGATTACTGTTTAACAGGTTCTGGTGGGGAGCCCGGAGACAACAGAAATATTTAAAGACATGCGGGCCTGGATTCCTGAGTGCCTGGTGTTAAGAAAGATGCAGAGTTCAGCCAAAAGAATACGCAGGTTGTAGTTCTGGGCCAGTTCAAGTCCCAGCCCAGGGGCGGGGGCACAGTTTCTTGGACTGTTAAATGGTAGGGTTTGGGGGCCAGCCTGGTGGTGTAGTGGTTAAGTTTGAATGCTCCGCTTCAGCAGGTGGGGTTTCCCAATTCGGATCCTGGGTGTGGACCTACACAGCAGTCATCAAGCCGTGCTGTGGCAGCATCCTACATACAAAAAATAGAGAAAGATTGGCACAGATGTTAGCTCAGGGCCAATCTTCCTCACCAAAAAAAAAAAAAAAAAAAATGATAGGGTTTGGATTAAAGGTCCTTTTTCCTCTGAAATTAGAGTTCTTCTACATTCTCAAAGCTCCAAATGATAAATATGACTAAGAAGCAAAGAATCATCTCAAAGCCTTTAAAATATTTATAACAATAATAAACATTTGTATGTTTTTGCCTGCTGATTTCACAGGCTGTATCTCCATTGCTTCAGATAACCCTGTGAAGTAGGAATTACCCTCATTTTCTAACAACCATCATAACCACCAGCATATATTGAATGCTGTATATGGACTAGGCACTTGACACACAGGAAGTCATTTTAGTTGCTCAAGTGACGTATGAGGCAGGCACTGTTATGAGCTACTGCCTACTTAAGAAACACGCCAAAGAGAGGAACTGACTTGTCTAAGGTCACACACCCGCCAGGTGATGAGTTGGGGTTCAAGCCTGGATCTTCCATCTCAGGGGTCAGCCAACTTTTTCTGGAAAGGGCCACATACTAAATATTTTAGGCGTTGCAGGCCGTGCAGTCTGTGTCACAGCTGTTCCACTCTGCTGTTGTAATAAGAAAGCATCCACAGATAATACGTAAAGGAATGGACATAGCTGTGTGTTCCAATAAAACTTTATTTACAAAAACAGGAAGTGGGCCAAGTTTGGCCCACAGGTTATGGTTTGTCCACCCTTGTGGCAGAGGCCCAAAGCTGCCTTCCAATTAGGAAGAACATGGCCCTGGCAGTGTGAGTCACCTGGGAGGTGACTGAGTTACATTTCAGAGCAGAGACCGCTGGCATGCAGGGAGAGAGTGGAGGCGAGAGAGGACATTTCCCAGAGGCAGGAGGCTGGAGCCCAGGGCTTCCTGGCAGGAGGGGTGGGGGAAGGCATGATTTTTTTTTTAAACAGTTTGATTGAGATATAATTCACTTACCATACAATTCACCCCTTTAAAGTGCAGAGTTCATTGGCCTTGAGTATATTCACAGAGTTGTGCAACTGTCATTATAATCAATTTCAGAACATTTTCATCACCTCAAAAAGAAACCCTGTAACCTTTACAGCAGTCACCCACCCTAATCGTTCTGTCTCTGTAGATTTGCCTGTTCTGGATATTTCATATACAGTCACGTGTCGCTTAACGACAGGGATACGTTCTGAGAAATGTGTCATTAGGTGATGTCATCATTGTTCAAACATCACAGAGTATAGGTACACAAACCTAGATGGCACAGCCCACTACACACCTAGGCTCTATGGTACTGATCTTACAGGCCCACCATTGCATATGTGGTCTGTCATTGACCAAAACATCCTTATGTGGTGCATGACCGTAAATGGAATCATACAGGATGTGGTCCTTTGTGACTGGCTGGTTTTTTTCAAATCTCTTTATTGTTTTGTGTTTTTTTTGGTGAGGATGCTTTGCCCTGAGCTAGCATCTATTGCCAATCTTCCTCTATTTTGTATACGGGATGCTGCCACAGCATGGCTTGATGAGCAGTGTGTAGGTCCGTGCCCAGGATCTGTACCCACAAATCCTGGGCCACTGAAGCAGAGCGTGCAAACTTAACCACAATACCACCAGGGTCCCCTGGCTTTTTTCGCATAGCGTTATGTTCCCAAGGTTCATCCATATTGTAGCACGTGTCAGAACTTCACTTCTTTATATGGCCGAATAACACTCACGTTTTATTTATCCCTTTGTCACTTGATAGACATTTGGGTTGATGATATTTTGGGCTATTATAATAATGCAGCTATGAACATTCATGTGTGAGTTTTTGTGTGGCCGTCCATTTTCATTTCTCTTGAGTATATACCCAGGAGTGGAATTGCTGGGTCATAGGGCGACTCCATTTTAACATTTTGAGGAAGTGCCAGAGGCACGTTTTATACTGTGTTTTTCAGCTTTGTAGGATGGACTGAAAGTAGAGAAAATACTGTGAGGAGCACCCCGTAGCCATCATCCAGGCTCAGCGATGATCGCCCTTCTTCTGGGCTTGTTTCACCCCCTCCCCTTCTCCACCGTTGTTACCCACTGAGTAGTTTGAAGCCGCTTCAAACCCTGCCCGTCTTGTTCGCTTGGCTCAGAGGTCAACTTTTGCTTTTGTTCCAAGTCGTCTACACCCATATTCTTGGGCAGATGGAGTTTGGGGAGAATGGAGGAGTTGGGGCAGAGTCGAGAGTGGGTCAGTGTGGGGTGGGAAAGGAATAGCTCCTGAGTGATGCAGGACGGGCTGTGTAATTTACAAAATGAAAATACGGAGCCCTTTGTTCAGAAATTATCGAGAAGTGCAAGATGACGACAGCAGAGCAGTATACCAAACCTGGGCCCTGTGCACGGCCCAGGTCTCGTGCCCATGAGGCCCGGCCAAAGGGTGCCCTAGCAGCACGGATGTGTTGGACACAGGAATGTAGAGCCGTGGGCATCTGGGAGAGACAAGGACCCCTTACCCCCAATCCCTGGAAACGTTCCAAGGAAAGTTTGGGTCTCCCATGGCACTCGGGACAGGGTTCAAGCCCGTTTCATTTGAATCTCTAAAAATAAGATGACCCCAGCTGACATGTGGGTTGTAAGTACTTTTAAAAAATAGCCACTTGTCTTACTAAGCCTTCTTCCCTAAGAGCCTGCAGTTGTTTTATTTGGCCACACCATTTTGTCCTGGGCTCTGAGCGTGCTCGGGTGTCACAGCGAATGACAGGCTGCGGTCTGCAGAACAGAGGGCTGCTGGTTAGCAACCAACGCGCAGCAGGGATGCCCAGGAGAGGCAGGTGGCCCTGGCACATCTTGGCAACCAGTGTGGCACCCAGCCCCTCCCAGACAGAGCTCCACTAGCCTTCTCCAAGGATGGTCTCCACCAACCAGAGGAACCTTAGTTCCTGCGCTTATCTAGACTCTCCACCCAAGAATCCACCCAGAGACTCAGAGCCCACAGTGTGTTGGAATGGCACCCAAGGATGTACTTGCACTAACAGAACCTCGTCATGAAGGGGTGTGCAACTCGACTGGGAAGGACGGGCGGGGACTCAGTGAGGAAGGCACAGACGAGGATTTGCACTCCCCCCTGTTCTCCGCGGGGTTCTCAATGAGTGAAGGAATGTTCATTCATTCATTCCGTTATTTGAATGCCTATGGTACACGACGGGGCTGTATGCCGGCCATGATCAATACAGTAACCGACGAGACAGACCCAGTTCCTACTCTTAAGGCCGGGAGAGGCAATCATAAACCAAACATGAACAACAAAACATTTTAAATTTGATTAAAATAATGTAATGATTGCTAAAAACAACCACAGCCACAGGTCTGAGTAAACCTGCTCGCAGCTTCCGGGTTTGTAGACAGCCAGCGTGGATCTCAAAGCAAAGCCCAATTTAGGACTGAGGTCGGTCTCAGCAGTGAGCTTAGAAGCAGCAAAGCCAGGAGAAGGCTCCAGAGGAGGTAGGTGGCTCTGCTTTTTCTCTTATTTTTCTGCCAGCACCTTCTACCCCACTTCCGGTAACAGACCTGACACCCAGTGGGCCTACGGCCAAAGATGGCCACTCACGGCCTCCATCCTGCTACAGTAATTGGTCCAGGTGGGGACACGTGACCCAATGTGGCCAATCGCAGCAGCCCACCACTGAGCCGGGCCACAGTGATTGGTCCAGTGTGGTCACGTGACCCAAGCGTGGCCAATCCAGGATGGTCCTTACTACAGCTGGGAAAAGGTTGCCGCTTTCTCCCTCAGCATCCAGAGCTGCTTGTGACCCCAGAGACCCCAGGCACAAAGGGCGGGGGAGATGAGAGATAGGGTGGAGGGAGGGGAGTAGGAGAGAGGTGCGCTGCCCTGTGACCCCACAGCCTTCCAGCCCTGCGTCCAAGAGCAGCCCAGCTTCTCCCTTTCTTCACCGTAGCTCCCCGAGTGAATTAAATCCCCATCTTGCCTCAGTCCGATCAACTCTGGTTTCTGCGCGGCCCAACACGTCCCAGTTTAGGGCGTGGGACTGTTTCCCTCTTCGTGGATTGTGTGAAACTAAAAGGGGTAGGTCAGCCTCAGAGCTCATTCTCCCCGGGCTGTGCCTCCAGCACTTGAGAATAAAAGCATCGTCAGACACATCTCCATCCCCCCATTAATTTCCCACTGAATCAGAGCTAAACACTTGCTCTTGGACTTCAGGTTCCACCCTATTCCTGCTTGCCTCCGTCTCCCCAACCTCACCCCGAAAACACCCCCTTCTCCTCTTTGCTGCGCTCTCCACCATGGGCGGAGCGTGCTGCTTGTCCCGGCCGCTGCTCCGATGCCCCCCATGTTATATTTGTAATGATTTTGTTTGACTGGTTTCCCCCATGAGTGGGGACCTTGAGCATGGGGACCCGGGCTTCCCCCATCTTCGTACCCCCGGGTGCTGGCGCGCAGCAGGGAGACAGCAAGCGTGGGAGGGCGGGAGGCAGGGAAGGATGGAGGAGGGGAGACAGGGGTGTTCATTCCTGTTTATTCTGGTCCAACCAGTGGTCCCTCGGAGGGTCAAGTTTATATTCGTTTCCTCTGCTGGAGACTCCCGCGTCAGGTAGACACAGAGCTGTTTCCCTCACTCCTTCAGGCCTCTACTCCAAAGTCACCTTCCCCCGGGAACTGCATTCTCCCAGTCCCCTTCTCGACCCCTGTCCCTCTTCCATGCTTTCTTGTCCTCTTTAGCACCCTCCACCACCATCGCTCCTTCTCTGTGGTCCATTTCTTTTACTTACTCTCTCTCTCACTGAAATGTCAGCTCCAGGTGGACAGGCATCTTTGTTTTCTTCTCTGCTGTCTGTATCCTCAGCACCTAGAACTGTGCTTGTCACCCGGTAGACGCTCAGTACCTATCTGTGGAATGAATGGATGAATGAATGAATGCTTTGTGTTCACCAAACCACAGTTCTAGCAAACTTGTTTCTTAAAGAACCTATGCGCTCCATGGATTTTCCAGGTGTTAGGAAAGTCAGGTGACGTGTGAGTTTCCCAGGGCCGCTGTAGCAAATTACTACACATTGAGTGGCTTAAAACAACAGGAATTTATTATTTCACAGTTCTGGAGGCTAGAAACCCAAAATCTGGCGGGGCTGCACTGACCCCAGGGGCTCCGGGGGAAAATCTGTTCCTTGCCTCTTCCAGCTTCCGGTGGCTCCATGACTTGTGGGCACATCACTCCAGTCTCTGCTTCTATCTTCACACGTTCTTCTTCTCCCTGTGTCTGTCTGTGCTTCTGTCTTAGAAGAAGGCATGTGATTGCTTTTACTGCTTATCCAGATAACCCAGGACAAACTCCTCTCCAGATCCCTAACTGGATCACCTCTTTTGTCATATAAGGTCATATTCACGGGTTCCAGGAACTGGAAGGTGGGCATACCTTTCTGTTTTTCACATCTCTTTTTTCACATTTCTCTTTCAATCCATCCAGCCCTTAGTGGTTATTTGCATAAAGACCAGAAAAGCAGATTCCCACCACTACTGCATTGGCCTCACAGATATTTAACAAAAAGAGTATTATTGTTGTATTATCTTGCTCGCATCCGAGTGTGGAAATGATTTTTCAAACACCATTTTATGTTTTTTATTTATCCTGATTTTTAAAAATAATACCGTGCTTATGGTAAATAAAAAATAGTACAGAAGAGAAAAATGTGGGAAATAAAGGAGCGCCTTTGCAATTTTTCTCGAACTCCAATTTCACTTTCTGAAAAGTAGCTACTGTATGCGGTTGGCATAATCGTCATAAATTTTCTAAGCATTTTCGAGTGCCTGCACTTTCTCTGCTCATAACGTTAAGAAAATCGGGTGTGCTCCCATATATCCTGAAGACACGACAGCCCTCAGACCCACCGCCTTCTTTTTAAAGCCTTGTAGCATGGCACCATACCCAACCTGTCCCTCACTGGCTGACGTTTCAGGTAACTCGAGGATTTTGCTGTTATAACATATATATTTTTTGGCATGTGTCCAAGTAGACTTACAGGATACATTCCTAGAAGTGGTCTTTCTCAGTGAGAGGATAGGTGCATTTTTAATTTCTACAGCGACTTCCCAGTGTTCTTCCAAAAGGTTGTATCATTCACACGCCCATCAACAGTGTACGTGCTGTTTCCAGCACCCTCGCCCAACCTGGCAAGGACGCGGTGTGTCAGGGGAAGCAAATCCTAAATGAGGTAAGTGGACTTTCCCTGTGGCCTGGGTAGGGGTGGACATGGCCTCCAAGGTTGTCCCTGTGGCTCTCTGAGGTGCTAAGCCGTCCAGAGCTCTCGTTAGTTTGGGTTTTATAAACAAAGACAGAGTTTGGGGAGGTGAGCCAGAACCGTGCAGCAAGAAGCGTTATGCAACTCAGTATTTATTTCTTTAGTGCAGTTAGAACTTAAATATGGTCAAAACATATTCTTCTTTTAATTTACACAAACAAATATGTTCCCAGGCTGACACCTCGGGTGCCAAGTTTCTAGGGGAAACGAAATTCTCCTCTGAGATTATAAACCACTAGAGAGAAGATGGAAATGGAAAAGCCACCGCGAGTCAGCTTCACACATCCAGAACTGGGCTGCTAAGAGCTGTCTCTTTCTGTCTTAGCTGCGGAGAAACCTGCCAGTAATTTCAGCAAATGAAACGTGGGCCGCAGAAAGGCCAGAGGATGGAAGATGCTCCGGTTTTGACAAAAGGAGGTCTGCTCAGCTTGGAATCCTCTCTCCTGTGAGTCAGGAGATGGAAAGCTATATCCAGAGGGGCTGATGAATTGAGAGAAAAAGAAACGAGGCCAGTGTGAGTCGCCTTTCAAGGGCTGTGCTAATATAAAACCAAACAACTTGAAATTGTTCCAAGAGGGGATTAAAGCAACATGTTATTTTGAGTGACTGCTTAATTTATTGAGCTGCGGCTAGATCTGTAATGAAATACAGCCCTTGCAACTGATAACCTCCCGCTGCAATTGAACTTCTGCAATTAAGGAATATTTTCCGAGAGTTTCTCTGGAACAGCTTAGAATTTTCAGTCTCTGTGGTGGGGTGCTTCTGAGCACTTGTTTTCCAGGCGAGCTTTTGGGTTTTTTTCCTTAAAGAATGACGGGCTGACGTTAATAAGGAAAATAAGCTGCAATTTACTGAATGCCTTGTGTGCACCAGATGCTTAATATACATTACCTCTAATCCTGACAACAGCCCAATGAAGTAATTTTTATTAGGCCCTGTTTTATAGACATGAGGCTCCTAGATGTTAGGTAATTTTCCAGAGTGGCATTGTCCAAGATGGTAGCTACTGGCCACTTGTGGCTATTTATGTGTAAATTAGTTAAAATTTTAAAAATCTAAATATTCGCTTCCTAGGTAGCACTAACAACTGGTTCAAGTGCCCTAGCTGTACATGGCCAGCGGCTAGCACATTGGACAGCACAGATACAGGCCATCTCGATGACTGTAGAAAGTTCTGTTGACGAGTGCTGTTCCACAGATCCCACAGGTAGAAATTGGCAGTGCCAGAGTTCAAAACCAAGCTAACGGGGTCCCAAGGCCACCTATTCTAGGATTACCCTCTCTTCCTTCTTCTGCTTTGGCTGAAAAGCAGGGACTAGCAGTGATTCTGATCCTGGCTGCACATTAAAATTACCTGGATGCTTTGAAAACAATATGATGTTAGGGTTCAGCCCCAGAGATCCTGACTTCATTGTGATGGTGGGGGTGGGGACAGGCATGAGGGTTTTTCTGATTCCCCATGTGACTCAGATGTGCAGCCGGAATCAAGAGCAGCTAGATGAGAGGATCCACACACAGGCTGGTGGAAGGAGCTGGTACATCTGCCATAGAATGTGGTCCCTTCAGTACCTGCAATGGGGCTCCCTCCAGGGCCACTTCTGAACCTCCTCAACAGAGAGCTCAAGTTCATTTCTGAGGGGAAGACTTAAGCGCCTTGTCACATGCTTCCTGCTTGAAGGGAGACACGATGAGGAGCTCTGCCTTTAGAAACAGGCTTTGTCACACTGCCGTGGAAGAAAGGAGATGAGGAGGTAGGATCACAAAGGGAAAAACCTCCAGTCCCAAATCGAACTGGAAGCATCAGTGTGAACTCATGCTATGTTTTGCCTTACGAAATAAAGCATGTATCTCCTAGCTCCGTCCACTGAAAAGGTTAGAAATAATGAGCAGTTCATAGCATGAGCACCCCCAGCACCCAGATTATGGTCTCTAAACGCCACTTCTAACTAGGAATCAGGGCTCTTTGGAGATTCAGCGGATTCTGGGTCTGAGGCAGGAAATGTGCAAGACGAGCCTGAAACATCTTGTCACCCAGGTAGCATGGCAGCTGTCAAAGACTTCTGGGGTCATGTCAAAAAGGATGCAGGGGACAGCAGGAAGAGGCTCCCACGGGCCAAAGATGGGACAGTTTGAGCATCAAGAATAATAATTGCAGTGGACTGAAACATGTCATATACGTCCAAATCTATGAGTTCACACTGTCACTGAGAGAAACAAACCCATTGATCATCTTTGGAGGATGTTGGGAAACCAACTCATTATTATTATTATTATTTTTTAAAGATTTTATTTTTTCCTTTTTCTCCCCAAAGCCCCCCAGTACGTAGTTGTATATTCTTCGTTGTGGGTCCTTCTAGTTGTAGCATGTGGGACGCTGCCTCAGCGTGGTTTGATGAGCAGTGCCATGTCCGTGCCCAGGATTTGAACCAACGAAACACTGGGCCGCCTGCAGCGGAGCGCACAGACTTAACCACTTGGCCACGGGGCCAGCCCCCCAACTCATTATTTTGAAAATTGTCAATTAAAGGGAGAGAATCAAGCATTTATCCTTTCTTGTATGAACCATACCTTACAGTAACCAAACGTTGAAAAGTAAAGTTTCTTTTTATGGAAGTATTCCAGCTAACAAACAAGGACAGAAGGATCGAATTAGTACGCCACCATTTTGCAACCCCTAATGGATATAGCCGGTGAGCATCAGTGGCTGCCGACATCACAAAGGGACAGCCAGACATCAAGTGCCTTCAAATGGAAATGCAAAACAGCCACTAGGAAGTAGTCAGACAAACACACACACACAAAACAAACGTGAATCTAAGTGAGCTTCTAGATCTTACTATTTACAAGAAATACAGGGGGGAAAGGGACATGTGTGACACTAATATGGGGCTGCAGTAAGCCAAATCCAGACTGTAGGACACTCTACAGAACAACCAGCCCAGAGTCTTCAAGTAAGAAAAAGCGAGGGAGGGGCCAGCCTGGTGGCATAGTGGCTAAGTTCGCTCATTCCACTTTGGAGGCCCAGGGTTTGCAGGTTCAGATCCTGGGCGCAGACCTAGCACTGCTCGCCAAACCATGCTGTGGTGGCATCCCACATAAAATAGAGGAAGAATGGCACAGATGTTAGCTCAGCGATGACCTTCCTCAAGCAGAAAGAGGAAGATTGGCAAGAGATGTTAGCTCAGGGCCAACCTTCCTCACAAAAAAAAAAGAAAGAAAAAGAAAAAAGGAAGGAGAGAGAACTTATAGGTTGAGAGAGATGTAAGAGACATATCAACCAATTGCAATGGATGAACCGTATATGGATCCTGATTTTAACAAACTGTAAAGAAAACATTTATGAGGTAACCAGAGAAATTTAAACATTGACTAGATATTTGCTGATGTTAAAGCATTACTGTTAGTTTTAGTAGGGGTGATGGTGGTGTAAAAAATTCCTCCCCCTGGGGCCAGCCCTGAGGCATAGTGGTTAATTTCCGTGCACTCTGCTTTGACCGCCCAGGTTCACAGGTTTGGATCCCAGGCGCAGACCTACACCACTCGTCAGCTGTGCTGTGGCGGTGACCCACGTACAATAGAGGAAGATTGGCACAGGTGTTAGCTCAGGGCGAATCTTCCTCAAGCAAAAAAAATAAATAAATAAAAATCCCCCCCTCCCTTTTTTTGGAGTCATACACTAAAATGCTTGCAAAAAAAATAATTGCTGCCTGGAATTTGCTTCTAAATATCTGCGATGAGGGAGGAGGGGTGGTGATAGATGGAACACGATTGGCCAAGAGTTGGTGATTGTTGAGGCTGGGGTTCATTGTACCGTATACTCTACTCTTGTGTGTGCTTAAAATTTTTCATAATAAAAATAAAGACCAGCCTTTTCCTTCCCTTCTCTGAAGGGTCTGGGGTTGGTCTGCCCACCCACTGCTGGCATCTCTGGGGCAAGCCTGGGTAGCAGGTTTCAGATACATCTCATTGCACACACACACACACACCCTCCTGTCTCCACGGCAACCAGTGAGGTGAGAAAGCAGCATCCAGAAGGCTCCTGTCCACATGAGGATCAGGCCAGGCTGCCAGTGTCATGCCAGGCCCACCATCGCTGCCCCCTTTGGGAAATTCCTAATCGAATCTTAGGAATAGATGGTCCCCTCACCACATGTGCCTCCTTGCACCCCTTCCCCATCCCTCTTGCCCTCCCTGTGAAACCCCAACTAGCAGAGGCCAGTTAGTGGCGAGAACAGGACCCTGAATCAGATTCAAGCCCAAATTCTAACTTTACCACTTAACGGCAAGACCTTCAGCCATCCTGAGCCTCAATTTTCTCCCGTGTAAAATGGGCATGATGTGACCTCTGCTAAGTCAATAAATCTTTATTACAGTGGCAAAAAGGACCTAGTGTCCACCTCGTGGAATAGACACTCGGAGGTGAAGGGCCATCTTAAGAGAGTGTGAGTGCTGTGATAAAGTACGTATCATAAAACTTGAGATGTAAGGGTGCTTAATCACATCCTAATTTTTTGAAAACTGGCAGTAACTACTTAGGAGATGTCGTAACTCTCAATCATACTTCCTGTTAACCTGAACATCCACATTCTCCAACTGCCCAGGATCCAGCTGTGTCAAATGCACAGAATAATTTCCCTTAACTCAGTGCTCACATTTCCATGAGGGGAGTACTATTATTCCCATTTTACGGAGACGGCAGCGAGGCATGAAGAGGTGAGGGACCTTGCCCGAGGCTGCACTGTGGGTACATGGTCCTGGCCTCTGTATTTGGCCCTCTGCACTGAGTAAGCTTTGAAATGCCGGGGCATGGCCAGGAAATCAGAACTGCCAAGAGACCAACAGGCTCTCCAGGTCAAACTATTTTGCAAACTAGGAAACAGTGGCCCAGAGAGACCAAGTAACTTGTCTTGGGCCACACAGCGAATCAGCAGCTGAATCTGTGTCCCAGCTGCTTGGGGAGAAGGTGCAGGGAAGCCCCATGCCGTGAGGGAGCCTGGCTCTTCTGCCCCATTTAATCCTGTCCTAGAGTGAGGTGACCAGCCATCCTGGGGTTTCCTGGGACCGGGGACTTTGATGCTAAAACCAAGAAAGTTCTGGGCCAAGCAGGATGAGTTGGTCACGCTGTCTCATGATGAGGCGTCTTAATGGATGTTCTCCAGGACATCAGGCCCTGGGATGGAGCTGGCTGACGAGAACCATCAACAAGGCCCCAGAGAAGTGCTGAAGTTTCATGCCTGTGGTCCCCTGGAGGTACCGTCCACGTGTTATCTCAGCAGCCTCCGGAGTGGTCCATCGTCCCACATCCTTCCTTGTGCCTCTCTAGTCTGTTCTTCCCCCAGCAGCCAGCACGCCCTCTCTGAATTGCAAATTGAATTATCCCATGCCCCATTTTACAAAACCTAAATGGTTTCTCATTTTTCCAGTTGCTTTAGGACAAACTCTAAACTTTGCAGGCCCTGGAGGCCCCCTTGTTGGGCTTGCCCGGTTCAGCTGCCCAGCCTCCTCTTGAACCCACCCTACTGCTACGACATTCCACGCAGGACTGGGATAGCCAGAGACCTAATTATACCCCTCACGCACCCACATACCCTGTTCCTTCCACAGAATCGGCGCAATTGTAATCACATAGCTATTTGTATAACTAACTGATTATTAATATCTAGTCTCCCTTACCTTTGGCTGAACTGTCAGCTCACAGGGGCAAGGACCAATATGTGATGCTCATTTCTGTTTTACAGCCCCTGACTCAGCAGTGACACATGAATGATGCTCCATAAGTAGTCATCCCATGGACCAACCAATGCCACCGTCACCTCCGACCCGGCCTCCAGCCGAAATCACAGAAACCCTTTATAGCCACCCTGACACCCAGTTCCCATTTCAGACAGGCTGGTATCCATGATGTCACGTGATAGAAGATGATTCCAGAAAAAGACTGGTCAAGAGGCTCCTGGAGGGAGAGATGGCAGCCAGGATTGAGAGGTTTTTTTCTTTATTATACCTGTTCTGTCCACTATTTCTTGGCTCTGTTCACATTGCTGCTCTAGTACCAGCTCAGGGAAAAAACGAAACAAAACATGAGCCCCAGAATTTGAGACAAGATAGCTGGTTGGTTTCCTCTCTGCTTGTAATTTAATGCTGGAAATGTTCATGACTTGCCTTGGCCGCAAAGGTAATAATAAAAGTCTGCAGCCTGATTATTTGGCTACTAATTCCCTTCTTGGTGTTTTTCTTCCCCTTTCCTTAAATTACTTCCAGAGTTCGTCCAGATTTCTCGTTGCTAAGCTGTAAAGTTCCGGGCTTCGCAGCGCCCATGCTGATTGGCAGGGAGGCCCGGTCAGCTCCAATCAGAAGCAGGTCGCCGAAAGGAGCATCCACAACGCAGCTCGCCCCGGGGTTTTGGAATTTTCTCGCTGACGTTATGAACCGCAGAGGTCTTTGTCTAACTCTGCAAAACCTGTTCTCTTGATCTTGTCTGCCTCTCTCTGGAGCGCAGGCTGTTGGGGGACGCCAGAGGTCCTGGAATTTCCCCCGGAAGGATGGGGAGTCCCTGGCTCACCGGTTTGGGCTCAGCGACAGAGATGCCAGGGCCTGCTCGTGGTGGACCATAGCCAACAGCGTGACGCTCTGCCACAGGCCGGTGAGATGCCTCAGGCCCCCCAAAACTGACCTCTCCTCTCCCAGGCCATCTTCTAAGCTTGGTGACTGGAGGAGGCTGAGGCAAAGGGGATGCCACTGAAAGTGGGATGGTTGGGGTGGAGACCACGTTTGTAAAGGACGTTAAAACACACATGGATGGTAGGGGCACGGTGGAGGGCCATTCTGTGTTCCACCTCTAGAACCCCAATGCAAAGAACCACTATGAACTGAAACTTATTTTTTAGACCACTCTATTGAGGTACGACTGACTTACAAAAAGCTGTATGTATTTAGTGTCTACTACTTGATGAGTTTGACAATGAGTAGACACCCAGGAAACCATCACCACGATCTATGCCATAAACATAGCCATCACCTCCAGGAGTTTTCACCTGCCATCTTTATGATTTTTATTTTTGATGATAAGAACATTTCACATAAGATCTACCCTTTTAACCAAATGAGTATATGATGCAGTGTTGTTAATTATCATCACCATGCTGAGTGTTAGATCTCCAGCACTTATTCATCGGGTATAATTGAAACTTTGCACCCCTTGACCAATATCTCTGCCTTTCTCCCTCCTCCCAGCCCCTGGCAGTCCCCATTCTACTCTCTGCTTCTACGAGTGTGACTAGTTTAGATTCCTCATATAAATGGACTCATGTAGTATTTGTCCTTCTGTGACTGGCTTATTTCACTTAGCATCATGTCCTCCAGCTTCAGCCATGTGTCCACGGATGACACGATTTCCTTCTTTTCTAAGACTGAGTAGTATTTCATTGTGTGTATAAACCACATTTTCTTTATCCATTCATCCACCGATGGACACTTAGGTTGCTACCATGTCTTGGCTATTGTGCCAGAAATTGTACACACACATCTGCTCCCATCTCAAAACACCCATTGGACAGACTGAGAATGTGATGGGCGTCTGCTGGTTTTGCTGCTGCTGCTTCCCTCTTTCACTAACGGAGAAGGCCTGCCACAGGGCAAGTCATGTGACCCAGGCCTGGTCACAGTGATTGGCTCTGGGGTGGGCACATGAACAAGCTGGGCCAATCAGAATCTTCCTTGAGACTTTACTACCAGAACTATAGGAAAAGTCTCCCTTCCTGCCCCTGGATTTGCTGAGCTGGCGACCACAATGAACACACGTGGAAGGTGACTGAGGGAGATATGAAGTCCCTGCAACAAGGCTTGAGCCCCAGGTGCAGCCCAGCCTTAGGGGAAGTCAGATCCACTCCCTGGATTTTAGTTACAGGAACAGTAAGTGCTTTGTTTAAGCCAATTTGCCTGTGTGTCTGTTGCTTCTAACTGGCAGAGTGTAATACAGACATGCACTTTCTCGTTGCCGTGCGTGGCTCTGGGTTAGGCAATTTGCATATAGTCCCACACAGGGGCCTCCTTATCACCTGGTGTGGTATTCCACTTTGCAGATGGGGAAACTGAGGCTCAGAAGGGTGACTGCCCAGATAATACTGCCAGTGTGTGTTCAGGCATTCAAACCTGGGCCGTCTAATTGCTGGATTCCTTGGTGGCCCCTCAAATTCAACTTGTCCAAAACTGAATTCAAGAGCCTCCCCTCTAGGGTCCTTCCCTCCGGGGTCCCGCATCCTAGGGGTAGCCCCTCCCACAAACTAGTGGTGCTAACCAGAAACCAGGTGTCACCCCTGAGCCCTCCGCGCCCCTCACTCCCACATCCAAGCCTCACTAAGTCCTGCCTGTCGACCCCCTCCGCAGCCCCAGAAGCAGTTTACTTCTCTCCCTGTCCACCTCTCCACCCCTGCCCAGCTGCCCTCATCTCTCAAAACTTTGACCTTCGAGAACTGCCTGCCACCTGGTCCTCGCATGTCTATTCTTACCCCTCTACTCCGATAGGGCTCCCCTTGGCGACCAGAGGAGTTGTCTCAAAATGCCAAGCTGACCTCATTGCCTTGCTGGAGGAGGCTGGGTGATGATCTGATGGAACACGTTTGCCTCCGGGGATGTTCTGAGAATCGTGCAACCCCTTGGTCCCACCCGATATTCAGGCACAAAGTCAGCAAGCCTGGGAGCTGGGGAGCACGCAGCTCCCTGCATCCGCAGCTGTCCCATCGTTTATTCCACAAAGAGTTTCTAGTGCCTCACAGGCACTGTCCCCTCTGCTGGGGCTCCAGAGGTGACCAACAGCAACCTGAGCGAAACTCACAGTGTGCTCGCCGCGGACCGGGTCCTGCACTCCGCGCTTCTCGCCCATCCACTCGCTTGCTCCTCCAGCAGCCCCACAAAGCAGTGACTGTTATTAATCCCATTTTATAGATGAGAAGGAAAAGGTGCCAGTTCTCATGAAGCTTATATGCTTGTGAGGGAGATCGACAAAAACAAGTTACACACACACATGCACACACGCAGGCATGCACAGACGTGACATAATTCAGAAAGTGATGGACCAAGGGTGATTCTTGGACTCAGTCCAGAGGCTTCCAGATGCCTCCTTCTCAACTTGTAGCCTGTAACCTGTGCCAGGCCCAGGGCAAGAGTAGAAATGGAAAGCTACCTACTGTAGGTCTACAGATTTAAAAGTCATAAATCAGGTACAGGCACCCAGCCCCAAAGTTCAAGTTCTGTCCTGAGCCCCCCCAGACAGCTGCTCCTGAGCACCCCCTTAGGTTTAGGGGTGCACACACTGGGAAGCCAGTCTGCTCTCAGCAGGGCAGGTCTAGAGGAGACCCCTGAGCAGGCTTTGGAAACGGCCCAGTGCTGCTGGGGCAGGGAATCCTGGAGTCCCGGACTCTCTCCATCCCTACCTGTCCTCTGCCTTACCTCCCATACTGGGTTGGTGTCCCCCCAAAATCGATGTCCACACAGAACCTCGGAATGTGACCTTACTTGGAAATAGGGTCTTGGCAGATGTCGTGAAGATAAGATGAGGTCATTCGAGGTTAGCATGGGCCCTAAATCCAATGACTGGTGTCCTCGTAAGAAGAGAAGACACATGCAAGGAGAAGGCCATGTGAAGATGGTGGCAGCGATTGGAGCGATGCAGCTACAAGCCAAGGAACGCCAAGGATTACAGGAAGCCACAGAAGCTGGAAGAGGCCAGGAAGGATTGTCCCGTAGAGCCCTCGGAGGGAGCACAGCCCTGCTGACACCTTGGTCTGGACTTCTAGCCTCCAGAGCTGTGAGAGGCTAACTCTCTGTTGTTTTCTACACCAGGTTTGCGGTTGTTTGTCACGGCAGCCCCAGCAAACGACTGTACTTCCCTGGGCCCTCCCCACCCTGCCCTCCCCCACACCCAGTGTCAGGCTGCTGCAGGAAAAAACATCACAAGCAGGTGGTCACATTCCCCACCTCCTCACAATTCACCTGGCCAACGTCAGAGCCGGAACACTCTTACAGGCCATCTTTCCCAAGAAGATCAGCTCCACCTTTGCCCAGGGCAGCTCTGGGGACAGGCTCTGGCTCCAAGGGGTAGGCCGGGTCCCTGAAGCAGGACCTCAGGGGAGGCAGGCTCTGGGGAGCCCCTCTCCGCTGTCCACCCTGGCAGGCGCCCAGGGGAATGTGTGTCAACAGACTCTTGTGCTGCAACCACATGTGGTTTGCTGCTTAGCTTTCCACTGGGAAGCTTGGCTGTGTTTGTCACAATGGTTAGTGTTCGGTTACGTTTAACCAAGGCTGTGGAGGTAGGGAGTTAGAGTGAGCTGTATATAATCTCTTGTGCACAAAGCCCACGGTAGAATTGCCTGACCTTCCCTCCCTTCCCAAATACACATGACAAAAAGTAAACTGAGAAAGAGGTCAGGTCTCTTTAGAAATCAGAGTGTTTGAACTCAATAGCAAAGAGCTGCTGTTTATTCTAAACTCCATGAAATGAGGTGACCTCTCATCACCAGGTAAGTCATTGGGACTATAGGCTTTTTGAATGCCAAAAGCCATTCATTCATCCACCCATCCACCCACCCACCCACTTATCCATCCATCACACACCCACCTATCCATCCATCCATCCATTTATCCACCATCCATCCATTCATCCACCCACCTATCCATCTATCCCATCCATCCGTCTATCCACCATCCATCCATCCATCTATCCACTATCCATCCATTCATCCACCAACGTATCCATCCTTCCATCCATCCATCCATCCACCATCCATCCATTCATCCACCAACCTATCCATCCATCCATCCATCCATCCATCCATCCATCCATCAATCCTTCTGTCCATCTATCCATCCATCCAATATTTGATAAGTTCCCATTATAGTTACTGTAATGATATTAATAACAGTGGTTCCTATTCAGTGGCTACTTCCTAAGAGATAGGCTGTGTACTAAGCACTTTGCATGCATCATCTGTTTAATTCTGACAAACAATTCTATAAAACAGATGCCAACCCACCCAGTTCCCAGAGGGAAAAAGTGAGGCACAGAGAGTTTAGGTCACTGGCCTAAGACTTCAGAGCCTACTGTGGTAGATTAAATATGACCAGAAGTTCCTTGCTGTTCTCCTGCCAAGGGGTGGAGTCTATTTCTCCACTCCCCTAAATCTAGGCTGGTCTCATGACTTGCTTTGACTAATAGAATGTGCCAGAAGTAGTGTTGTGCAAGCTCCAAGCCCAGACCTCAAGGAGCCTGGCAGCTTCTGTCTTTGCTGACTTGGAATGCTGACCGGATGTTGGTCTCACCTAGTGGAAGATGAGAGGCCTCATGAAGGAGCACTGAGGCCACCCAGCCAACAGCCAGCTGCCACACATATGAGGAAAGCCATCTGGACCTTCCAGCTGAGTGCGCCCAGGCATGACCAGCAGAGGAAGCACTCAGCTAACCTATGAAGTCATGGAAAATAATAAATTGTTGTTTTAAGCCACTATGTTGTGGGTTTTGTTTTTTTTTTGTCACACAGCAAAGGCTAACTGAGACATGTTACAAGAGGCCAAGCCAGATTCTAAGCCAGGTCTCCTATTTCTAGACTCTGAGCCTGTCACAGCCAGAGACTGTGATCACAGAGCTGAAGAGAACACAGCCCCCGAGTGGGAGAACTCCGGGGGACAGACGCTCCAACGGAGACCCGGCTGGATCGTCCGTGTGAGGGCAGATGTGTCCCAGAGGGCGGGTTGCTGGGACCTTGACTTAGGTGTTTCACTCATACAGCAACCAGTTGCTGCACACCTACCGGGTGACAGTCACCATACGAGGTGTTGGCTGTGTGGTGGCAGGCAACAGACATGGTCTCTGATCTCAGGAAGCTTGAAATGTGGGGAAGAAGACAGGCAAAGTAAACCAGTAACCAAGCAATTAGAAATTGTGAACCGTGTTGTGAAAGAACCGAGAGGCCACGAGGAGAGCAAATAACGGGGAGGAGTAGCTTGAGATGAGGTGGCGAGGAAAGATTTCTCCAAGACGGCAGTGCGGAAGCTGGGTCCACCAGAATGACAAAAATACACGCAAAAGGGACAGGGAAAAGAATCCAAGTCGAAGGAACTGCATGGGCAAAGGCCCTGGGATTTCTAGTATGACGGGGGCAGAGTAGGCGAGGAGGAAAGTGGATGAAGACAAAGATGCAAGGATGGGCCAGGCCAATCATGTGGCCTTGGAGGCTGTCCTGGTCCATTCAGGCTGCTGTAACCAAAATACTACAGACTGGTAGCTTATAAACGACTAAATTTATTTCTCACAGTCCTGGAGGCTTGGAAGTCCAAGATCAAGGTGCCGGCCACTTCAGCGGTGAGAACCTGTTTCCTGGTTCATAGATGGCCAGCTTCTTGCTGTGTCCTCACATGGTGGAAGGGGCAAGGGAGCTCTCTGGGGTTTCTTTTATAAGGGTACTAATCCCATTCATGAGGGCCCCACCATCATGACCTCACCACCGCACAAGGCCACACCTCCTAATACCATCACATGGGGGGTTAGATTTCAATCTATGAATTTCCAAGAGATGCAAGCATTCTGTCCTAGCAGAGGCTGTAGGAAAGAAATAGAAATTTTCCCCAATTGTGTTCCTGGTTTGAGCAAGCGGAGGGAAGTCCTAAGTTCCTGGAGTCCTCAGTTCCTGGAGTCCTCAGATGCGGTCAGACATGCGGGTTATTGACATCTTTCCCCCATTCCCGTGGCTCTCTCTTCCCCCATTTCAGCCCTGCTGTCACCAGACTCTTGGATCGCACTATTTCGGACACCCAGCCCCAAAACCTGCTCCTTCCCCAGTCCACTCAACTGCTCACACCAAAAACCTCCATTCATTCACCAAATTCTCCCCTTTCCCACAGCCCAGCATCCAATCCTATTGACTCAACCTCCCAAATAGCCTGAATTCAACCAAGTTTCTCTGCCTCCATTGCCACCGTCGGCTAAGCCACCACCACCTCTTGCCCGCACGACCTCTTACCTCCCTTCCCTGCTTCTACCCTCAGCCTCCTTAGTCCATTCTCTACCCAGCAGCCAGAGTGATCTTTTATGATAAACCAGACCTCATCTCTGCCCTGCTTACTACCCTCAGTGACCCCCCATTGTGATAATAAGACCTGAGCTCTTACCTTGTGGCTTTTCTCCTCCCGGCCACATGAACACTGATTTACACTAAGGGACACTAAGTTGAATGGGAAGGCTGGGGACATTTCGGCCTCAATCAAACATGAACGGCCATTCCCTTCCTTCCACGTGCGAGACACCAGCCACCCAGCAGGTACTACAGGTGTAGCCGCTGCCACCGAAGCCCTAGATAGCCAAGGCTATCCTTTCATCCCAGCCCCTCGTGGCCCCCCAAACATGGTAACTGGATAATGTGACGTAAGACCCCTCTCTGTCTCCAGGCACCAGCTTTGATGCTTGCCAGCTGTGCCCTCTTGGGCAAGTCACTCAACCTCTCTGACCCTCAGTTTCCTCATCTGAAAAATCAGGGTGACAAAAGCCCTGACACCCCGGTGTTCACAAAGGTCTGTGAGCGCCGCGCGCAGAGCCAGGCACAGAGAACACACTGGAAAATGAAGCCACTACCGCTGTGAGCGTAAAGCCTAACTTGGCAAATTTCCCGAAATACATTTTATTGGGTTTTCCTTTCGAGCTACAGAAGCAATATATGGTCCTTGAAACAAGCCAAACAGCGGAGGTGGATAGAGAAGGAGCTCAGCTTCCTTCTCCCCGCTCACTCTAACCTCCCTGTCCCCCCACACCCCCACGGGCTCCGGGAGCCGGTAACAGCTGGGCGGTTTTCCTTCCAGAGCTTTCTCCTTGCACAGTCATCTGTTTGCATATTTGTGGTTTATTTGTTTCATCTCTACAGAAATGAGCTAATTCCATTCGTATTTTCCAGGGCCAATACAATAGAAATGAGCTCCGTTCATTTCAGCAGCTTCCTAACGTTCCCCCTTGGTGACGGGCCTCGTAGTTAAGGTGCCGGCCGCCTCCCCTTCGGGTGGGTACTGAGGCTGTTTCCTGCCCATGCTCATGCGCCTGTGCCGCATTGACGCCCCAGGATCACCTCCTCACTTCTGCAGGAGACGGTCCCCAGTGAGTGGTTATGGGGTCAAAGGGCACGGTTTTGTGTTTTTTTAATGAAAATGTGCTGCTGAACGAGTCTCTGTTGAGTGACTGAACCATCCTGGGTGGCCCAGAATTTATTCTGCTGTCTCCAGAAGCCAACAAGCATCCTGATGGCTTCCCTGTAGGCAGACATCCATTCTAGCCAACCAAAGGGACATGGTTTCACCCACCAGCAGGCAAAAGCAAGCCCCCCATCCTACTTTAGGAGCTTGAGAAAGACCTGGAGAAGCAGGGAGACCCAGAGCGAAGGTGGGCAGTGGAGATGACCCCAGTTCTGGATTTTCACAGGGCGTCACTTCCCGACACAAGGCTGGTCTCGCGGCTGTCTCCAAGCTGGACACAGATGAAGGCACATACCACCCTTGTCAGTCCTCTGGGGACAGGCGGTGGCTCCAGCAGCAACACAAACTAGATGAGGAGACGGCATGCAGACAGAGCATGGGGCAGCGGGCTGCCTGCCCTAGGGAGCCGGTGGTCAGAGAAGCCTCTGAACAAGAATTCTTTGACCTGAGCTGGCGTAAGCTGAGCGTTCACAGCGCCCTGCTGCACGAGGTAGCTAGCACCCTGGCACGGAAGAGCCCTCACCCCTCATTTTACAAAGAGAGAGACTGAGGCACGACCACAGGCAGGTTGCCGGATCTCCCTGTGCCTCAGTCTCCACATCTGTAAAATGGGGAGAGGAGCAGTACATCCCGCCCTGCAGGTTTGCTGGAGGGAGCCTTGTGCCCAGGCGGGTTACAGCTGGTGCTGAGAGCTCCTGGCCCCTCCCCATCTCCACTTCCGCCATCTTCCTTGTTGACCATCCATGAACCTCTAGGGGCCTTGATCCTCTTGGCTCCAGGGTGCCATCCTTCACCCTACTGCAGCCCCCAGCCCCAGGGCTATCCCCTGGTCCTTAGTGTGGCCAATAACTGGCAGTCATACCCTCACCAATCCCCCAATTCCATGCTGGCCCTCTCAAACTGCCATATCCTGCCTATCGAGCTCACTTCTCCCCCTGCTGGACCCTCAGCCCCCAGAGCAGCAGCTGATGCATAGTAGGCCCGCAGTAAATGTGTGTCGGATGGAGGAATAAACAAACAAATGAATAAATGTTTGGCGGCAGCTACTACTAACAAATGAGAATTGTGTTACAACACTAGGCACGTGGCATAGGAATCTGGGGGGAGGGTAATTCGAAAGGGGGTGTCCACAAAGGTTTTCTGGAGAGATCAGAGCCAGGCGACGGAGGCACCTAGCACAGAGTAGGTATTTAAGCCTGCACTATTTCATTCCATCCTGCCCGGGGAGCAGGGGAGATGAGGAAATGAGCCAGCCAAGGAGTAGGGGGGCCAGGGAGGTGGGCAGGGAGGGGATGGGTGGCAGGGGGATATGGAAAGTATGTGACCTTGACAGTACAGTTGCCAAGACAGCGTGTGCCCACTGTCATCCTGGGGCCCCCAGCCACCCCAAGCACTAACCCTTTGCTGCTGGGTCACGGGAGCTCCAGAGTGGGGCCAGGGTGGCTGGGGTGGTGAGGGCGCTCCAGGAGGTCACCGGGCAGCAGCTATTGGCTGGAGTGTTTCAGTATTTCAATATTTTAACAAGAGCGACCCAAGCGAGCAGTGTGGCGAGAGAGAGCCAGGTAGAGGGACCGCCTTGGGTAAAGGCTTTATGCCTAGGGCCTTTGGTAGCTGGCCAGTGGGGCCTATGGGAAACCCAGACCTCCTGGCTGTGGTTCGTAGCTCAAGGCACCCGCCTGGCCACAGCTTGCTGCCCTGGGAGCTCGCTCCCTGGCAGCGCCCTGGTGGGCTCAGCTGCGCCCTCCCTGGAGGGTTTATATCTGGGGTGGTGGCTAAGAACAGCTGAGGCCAGGGGCCACGCTCTGAGTCTCCAGGTGGCTCCTCAGAGCTCTGCGCACTCAGAGGGGGGCCCTGGAGGGAGGTCACGCTCCAAGGACGCCCCTGGTGCTCTCTGTCTATGAGGCTGCATGGGAAGGGGCCTTCCCTGGAGCCCAAGGCTATCAATGTGCCCGAGGCATCCACTTAACGGACAAATGGTTTGGGGAGGAGGTGAAAAAGGGTGGAGGGCACTCGGTCCCCTGCTCTGGTTTGGGGCAATGCCCCTGCTGCCGAATGAACGAATGGATGGCTGACATTTCCCCGGTGCCAGTGCTTCCCTGAGGATAGAGAGGATGGATGAGGAGGGAGCCTCCTGTGTCACACCTGCAGGCCTGGAGCTGGGAGTGGCGCGTGGCTGGAGGACCCTGGGGTGGGGCGTAGCAGGGAGCGGGCTCCCATTTAACAGTCCTGGTGGGCTGACTTCCAGAGCTTCTCCCCGTCATCGTGACACCCCTCCCCTGCCCAGCCTCCTGGTAGCTCTCCCTAAAGCCACCTCCACTGGCCGCCAGGAACCCTCCTCTGTGCTCTCCTCTGAGAGCCCAGCTCCTCCCTGTCCGCAAGGCCTTGGCCTCCTCTCCCAC